GGGGTTTAATAATCAGAACCCCCCATTACATCTTTTCCATTCATTTTTCCATTTGATTCTCCATTAATACCACAATATTGCTAAATCTTCAACCTCGTTTATTACATCTCAAGTCTTAAGCCTGAACCCTGAAACCTAAAAAAAAAAAACGCGTACACGAGCCAGTTTAAACTCCTAGTAGCCCCCTTCATAAGCCCCTATAATAATCCCCTCTATCCCTAAACCCTATACCCTACATCCTAAACCCATGCAGTCACGGCAGCCGCAGTGCCCAGGCCTCTGGTTGGCTTCCGGCGACTCCTTGTCATCCCAGAAATGCATCTTCTTCCCCTGTAGCAAGGCGATACAGGTTTAGGGTTTAGGGTTGGAGAATCACAAAGAAGAGACAATGGAAAATGAACCTGAAAACTGAATCCCTAAATCCTTACGTAGGGGTTGTATAGGAGAAAAAGGATGGTGCTTATGTAGGCTTTTATCGCACACTACGAAACCTACAAGTCACTCTTAGAACATTACCCACTTATAAAGTGGATTTTCCCCGTTTGAAAATTGGAATTATGAGCCCAGAATGTGAAGTAAAGATTTATGCCTTGGGTTTTGGGATTGAAATTTCCCTGGGGTCCGACCCTAAACCTTAACCCCTCCAAATCCCGAAACCCTGAACCCAAAAGCCTTGTCTGTGCTTCGGCTGTACTCGTAGCCGCCAGATTTCATGAGAGCACCAAAGCTTGGAATGCCTGATCTCAGACGCCCAAACCAACATGGAACTAGGGTTTGGGGTTTAGGGAACCCATGGAACCCCAAAGTCCTTGCAAGAACAAACAGCGCGTGCCCCAAATTAGAATTGAGACCTTACACAGCCGGGATAATCTCCACTGATAGTTTGGGGGCAGGGTCGGGCTTTAAGGCTACTGGGGTCATGAGGGCTTGGGCTTCTGAAGCTTCGGGTTTTGAGTTGGCAGTGCTTAGGACCCCCGCAAGTTTGGATTTCATCGGCAGGGTTCCGCGATTGAAGCAAGATGCCCGCGCACAAAGGCAAAGCAGCATCATTCTCCAGACATGAGATTTAAACTCGAATCAAACTCTGGGTGGAAAAAACTGCCGACCCTGCAAAGTCCCAAACCCTCAAACTAGGGTTAGGGTTTAGGGTTTGAGGCCTAACCCCCAAACCACAGCAGCGGCGGCTTCTGATTGAGGAGATTTGCTGATTGATTAGGTGCCGGTGCAATTTGAGAACTGTCAACTTAGAGAGATGTGGTAGTTACGTAGGGGTACACATATAATTACGTAAATATATCTGCGGCAACATCCTGCAACAAACACAATCGCGCTCCGAGACTGCTTTGCAGGTGCAGGCTTTGTCCATATGAACAGCTTTTTATTTTGGCATGAGAACCGAGGAAAAAAATGCCTCTATAAGATATGAGCGTTGCTTAGGCCAAAGGAGGATATACTCTTTGGCTATTTCTGTACTACAATGTGCCCAGTAAAAAAAAAAAAAGCAACTTCTGGGGGCCATGGAGAGGACTTCAATCATGCAACATCCTAATACCGGAACACTTCTGAAACTTGCAAGATAACCCCCTAAACCCTAAACCCCAACCCCCAAACCCTAAACCCTAAACGCTAAACCACTTTAGGGGGTTTTTCAGCACCTTCCAGGTCGTCGATGGAGATCTCACCCACCTGCAACCACAAAGCCACAAGCTCTTGGGTCATTCCCCCTTACTGTAACAGTTACCACAATGGGTAATAGGAGTTATAATAGCCCCCTGAATAAGGCCCCCTTTAGGGACAGTTACTGGGAGGGGGAATGACCCAACTCTTAGTAAACTGCAAAGCTTCCACAAAAACACGGCAAGATACAAAGAGAGCTGGTCGAATGACGGGTGCCCTTAAGTGCCCTTGGGGATGTAAACGTGGGGATTGCCAGGGTGTAGAGCGTGAGGGGATCCCACACTAAATTCCCAGGGTTTAGGGTTTACGATTTAGGGTTGCGACTGGTCGTGAAATGCAAAAATCCAAACCCTAAACCCTAGACCCTAATCCCTAAACCATCTGCAAACAACAGAACGATGCACTCCAACAGCTTGGTTCTAATTCTGAAGCCTGCAGGCAGTATGGGCAGTCATCATGTTGAATCTGGGCTGCTATTAAGGAACTTAATTTGAGTTACTATATTGGGGAAGCCATACTACGTAACTACTATGTATACCAATTATGGCAACTTAACTGAAACTCCCTCGCATTAACCCAGGAATGGTTTTGGGCATGCATTAGGAAGATCCCCCACCCCGTAATAGAAGTATCAGAAGAATATAAGGGGACCCTAATGTAATCCCTATTATCCCTTACAGTCACTATTACTGCGTGGGGGGTCCACCTAGGTATGCAACACCACGATCTATTGGCCCCTGCACCGGAGACCCTGACGGCTCCGCGTCCAAAACCCCCAAAACATTGTGGGAACCCCAAAAGAATATAAGGACCCTGGTAGTATATTCCTGGTAGGTATATACCTATTATATTCCTACTATATTCTTGGCGTTCCCTGTTTGGGGTTTGCATTAGAACCCTTTTAAACATCCAGGTCCTTAAGCAAGTCATTTGAAAGCCCAAAAAGCCCAAATCCTGTGACCCCAGGCATCAAGTCGCAGTTTCCTAAAATCAGGGGTACTTTGTTTCGTGGGACGCTCACAAGACTATGCGAAAACTTGCAAAACCCTAAAACCTGAACCCTGAATACTCAACCCTAAACTCTATACAGCTAGCCCTAAACCCTAAACCTTAAAACCCTAAACCTTAAAACCCTAAACCCTAAAGCCCTAAACTCAAAACCCTAAACCCTAAACCCTGTTAGCCTTTTCATAAACTTCTGCCTTCTTGTAGGTGTAGGTGCAGTCGAAAGCTCCAGTCGGCTCATCACCTGTGCAGCGGCTTTCCGCTGAAGATTCTTTGGTTTAGGGTTTGGGATTTAAGGTTTAGGGTTTAGGATTTAGGGTTTAGGGTTCAGGTTCTTGGGTTTAGTGTTCAGGATTCAGGGTTTGAGCTTACAGCCCTGGCAAAGAAGTAGCACAGAGCAGGATGTTCCGCAAAACACTCTTCAGAATGTACGAGAAGAATGGAGATCACATGGAGAGTATAGGGCCCTCTTTGAACATTAAAAAAATCAACTACAAATCCCGTACGTCACAGTGGCAGGCCTGAGGATTAGGGCTCCAGCTGAAAATGCAGGCAAACACAGCTGTGATTTACATTTTCATTCCTGTAAACCACACTTGAATCCCAGATTCCATTTCATGTTCCACTCTTCTCGAGTTGATCTCCATTCGCGCATGTTGTATTCCTCTACCCAGTCCGAAGAGGTGCTGGTGAGGTGGTGGCGGCACTAGTTGTAGAAGAGCCGCAATTGAAGTAGCAGCAGCACTGGCAGTAGTAAGCCGCATAAGCAGAATGGCGATAGACGTTGGCGGCGGCATCAGTTGCACAAGAGGCCACAATTGAAGTAGCAGCAGTACTAAGTCGCATATTCAACATGGCGATAGACGTCGTCTTCACGGGAGTAGAAACAGCAGCAGCAGCAGTGTCGTTCTCATACCAGCCAATTCGAATCTCACAACCCCCTGCGCCCCCCATGTTGGCGTCTTTCAGAACAACACATTTCAGGAACAACTCCAGATAACCACTCACCGGGCTCACACACTGCTTGTGTAAGGGAAGCGGGGGCATCTCAGGTAAACATGGGCCTCATATGAGCTAATTTAAAGGACATGGGCTTCTTATGAGGGACTATATTAAGGACTATACCAAACCACAAAAGGGACCCATATGTCCACTGCTAGGGATCTCTTAATCAGGCCAATATTGACAGTAGCTCATGAAAGAGTACCTGCCTGATGAAGACTCCCAAAAGCCGTGCCTCCTTAACGTTTAGGGTTGAAGTGTTTAGGGTTTAGGGTTAAAACCCTAAACCCTAAACCTTAAGCCCTGAACCCTCAACCCTACTAACCCTTAACCTCAACCCCTAGCACCTACAGCCTTCCATTGCAGGGCTTTGAACCCCCAAAGACCGGGATGCCAAATGAAAAAGCCTAGGAAGTTGGCAATACACGAAGAAGAAAAGAGTTTAGGGGTTTAGGATTTAAGGATATCCACAGCATGTGATTTTCCATTACAGCTATACCGTAATAGAATATACTATATTCGTCACATGATATACTCCAAAACTCTATTATCCTTATTGGACCCCGCATTATAATCCTTGTAAGCCCCCATGTAGACGAAGGTACAATTGCTTTTGTTCATTGGAATTTCCTGTCTGATTCTCATCTATGTAATGAAATTGCTCGGGCCCCAAAACCCCAAAGCCTACACCTGAATATTTGGTACTCTCATGACAGGGAGACCACCATACAGACCCTAAAATACTCTACTCCTTATCATATGTCCTTATAAAATCTTATGGAACCCCTTTTGTATAACCCCTAAAACCCCCTCTGAGAGTACTTTAAGGAAACCCTCATTTAGGTCCTCACATTATAGGCAAGGCGAGGCGCCCGATTTGCAAGCTCCCCCCGGCTCCGTCACACCACACTTGTCCGTCTTGCCCCAGAACCTGAGGTTGAGAACACCAAACACTCAACTCTAAACCTGTAGGGTTCAGGGTGCAGAATTGAGGGCTTAGTCTGAGTTGCTGTTCAGGAGACCTAAATTACGTCACCAGAATGGTACATGTCCATATTATTGTAACTTAGATTAAGTTACTTAACAGCAACCAAGTAGGTGTGGTGTTTAGGGTTCAGGCTTTGGTGTTTCAGGGTCTGGGGATCTGGGGATGTTTGGCACCCTGTGTCGGGGACATTTCGGCTTCTCAGGATGGGGATGCCGAACCAGGGGATCTAGGGTTTAGGGTTTAGGGTTTAAGGGTTTAGGGGTTTAAGGGTTTAGGGGTTTAGGGGTTTAGGGTTTAGGGATTCCTATAAGGCACTTTGCAAGGGAAGCCAGATCTTGAACAACCGGCTGCAGCAAATGGACAGGTCATGTTGTTTGAAAGTGCGGACGACGGTCCTGACGGCCAACAGTATGCAGGAACAACGCATTTTAAAAAAAACGTAAGATCCTTCAGGGAGGGTGGTTCTAGGGGGTAGACACCTAGTAAGACTCCCTAAATTATACTCCCCAGGGCGCCCGAAGCTTCCCCAACAACTACCCCCCTTGGACCCACGCTTGTTCAACTGTCAGCACCTCACTAACCCGAAACCCTGCACCCTAGACCCTAAACTAATACTTTCCATTTTCTTTGCCATTTTCCTCTCCATAGTATGTTGAAGGGACAAATGCTGAGCATGCCAGCGCCAGTACTTGCGCACTTGCCATCGGGACCAGTCACTCGTAGCAAGATTTTTCCACGAGGCACGATCGGTTTGCTTCATTACGGCTCTCGGTTGCTCAAACCATGTCACAGCCAACCCGAAAAGAATCATCCACGTCACATCGAAGGGTCAAGGACGAAGCTTCAAAAGGCATCACACAACACCCCCCGCGGCGGGAGCGAAGTTGTCTGAGCAACCGCCGTTCAAGTGGGATGCTGCTCGGGCATGTCTGTTGATCCCACTTGCGTGAAGGAATCGCACTGACTAACCATGCGAAACTTCTTCATCCTGGAACCCCAATCATCGAATGTTTTGCGCAACTCCTTCAATTCTTTCATCTCACAACCAAGCTTGTGCTCTAGGAACCGTATGTCTTGCTCGAGGTAGAGGGCATCGCGGTGGTACTGGCTCAGAATTTCTGAGCTGTCAACAATGCGTTTCACACGCATAGTCGAACTACCTTCTTCAACCAGTTGCCCGGGTGCTTCCACACCAGTGTTGATGACAGCGTCATTTCTGCCAGTAGAACCCCCCGTTTGCGTCGCAACCCCCGCGTTCTTGATCATCATCGCCCCGAACCTCTCAAACCCACTTTGGTGCGAAGAAGCTGGTGATACATCCATCTCATCGACCCAGTTGTATCCGGCATCATTAGCAGAGAACATGTCTCTCCCGTCATGTCTGTGTGTATAGTCGTCCGTCTGCACCGCGGCCTCGCAGTCAAAGGAATTGCTGTAGACTAGCCAGTTTGGCACTTGCACTTCAGCATGCGCTTGTGCTGCAGCATCAGCCCGGGTGCCCGCAGCCTTGACTCGTCGTCCTGAGAGCCAAGGCTCTTAACCTGTTGAAGGGACAAATGCTGAGCATGCCAGCGCCAGTACTTGCGCACTTGCCATCGGGACCAGTCACTCGTAGCAAGATTTTTCCACGAGGCACGATCGGTTTGCTTCATTACGGCTCTTCGGCTCTATTGCTGGGTTACCCGCATTTGAGCCCTCACATTCCATACATCCACGGTTGCATGCCTCTCGGTTGCTCAAACCATGTCACAGCCAACCCGAAAAGAATTATCCACGTCACATCGAAGGGTCAAGGACGAAGCTTCAAAAGGCATCACACAACACAATATAGCCCCCATATGGGTGGTTGTCAAAATTATGGTCCCTTTTTGGGTACCCCAAATATTAGGTGCCGTCTTATACTAGGGACCCAAAAGGGACCATAATTTTGACAACCCTAAACCCTAAACCCTAAACCCTAAACCCTAAACCCTGAACCCTTAACAGCAAACCAAACCACGGAAACCGAGGATGGGGCTTCTCGGAATGGCAGGCGCCCGGCAAGCTGTACCACATGGCATCTGGGCACAAAGCACTGCAGGATGTGAGTAGTAGGGGATGGAAGAAAATGGAAACTACTATAATAGGGTATATATGCGAGTTATGTAGAGATAATGGAAAAGAGAATGGAAACTGCTATAATTAAAAAATGATTCAAGCTAATTAGTGAAGTGGGAACCTTGAAACTCTGCAAGTGTCGGCCTGGGTGTTGAGGGTTGTGGCACGTAACCTTACTGCTTTGTCTGAATACAGTAGGGTTGGGTGCGGGAGTTACTTCCAGCGCCTACTCAATGGCACTTATGAAGACCCAAGCCCAGTACAAGAAACACCCCCGAGAAGATGAACACGAAAATCCTAAAACTCCTAAACCCTCAAACCCTGCAACCCTCGAACAATGAAACCCCTAACCCGCACACACTGAAACCCTCCAACCCTCAAATCCTGAAACTCGGAAAAAAACCCTGAAACCCATAAACCCTCAAATCCTGAAACCCTCAAACCCTGAAACCCTTAAACCCAAAAAAAGCTTGAACCGTACTCCGAGGCCCCAGCTTGGGTATTTCACCTGGCCCATCCTCAGAGTAGGTGGGGACTAGGCTCCTCTTATTAGGTTGGCACTTAGGGTTTAGGGTTTAGGGTATATAGGGTCCCCTATAAAAGCC